TGTGAGGACCCCCCCGTTTCCACCCACCGACACACACACACACACACACACACACACACACACACACACCAGCCCGCCCCACCTCCATGATGCGCCCATACTCCTCCTTGGACACAAAGTAAGGGTGCGCCCACTCCTCATACAGGAAGGTCAGCCGCTCGCGGTCACGCTCGCTGCGGGGCGGGGAGTGCAAAACAAAACAGGATGCGTGTGTACCGGTGGGCGGGAGGGGCAGCAGGCGAGGCAGAGGTGGGCGGGTGGGACGGTGTGCGTGCCTGCGTGCGTGGTGGTGGTGGGGTGGTGCATCCAAAGCAGGGCGCCCATGGTGGGGGGCGATGCTGAGGCCGCCCGGCCCCAGCAGACCCCCAACCCCGGCAAGCAGGCGCGTGGGCGCGCCCCGACCCTCCCAAGCGGGCGACCCAGCCCAGCCCAGCCCAGCCCAGCCCAGCCCCAGCCCCACCTGAAGGGCGCCTCTGGCGTCTCGTCGCGCTGGCACCAGGTGGCGATCACAATGGTGCCCCCCGGCTTGAGCACGCGCACCTGGGAGGCACGTGCACACAAATGAATGAGCTTGACCAATGAATGAAATTGGACATTGATTGAATCCACGAATGGGAGGAGGGGCGTCGGGCGGGGGGGGTCCAGGAATCACCGGCACAGCCACCGGCCGGCCCCCCACCCACAGCATGCTTGTTGCTCCCCTCGCGCTCAACCGCCTGGCCACCCCCGCCACCACCCTTCGGGCCCCCGCCTCACGCAGCAGCCAGCAGGCAGGCCGGCAAGCGGGCCGGCGAGCAGGGCGGCGCAGGGGAGGCGGGAGGCCCCACCATCTCGTCCACGTAAGCCTTCTTGTCGGGCATGTGCTCCCCGCTCTCGCACGCCCACACCAGGTCGAAGGAGTTGTCGGGGAAGTCCATGCTGAGGGCGTCCATCACCTGGGGAGGCAGGGCGGCAGGGGTGCGTGCTGGGGGAGGTGCCCGGGGGAGGTGTGGGGTGTGTGCTGGGCGTGGGGTTTGCTGGGGGAGGTGCGTTCGTATGGGGTAATCAATTGGTTGCTGGGGAGGAGATTATGAGGAGATTGCAGGTGTGCTGCGAGGGGCAGGTGCTGCGAGCAGGGCAGCGTGTGCGCATGGCGGCGGCGTGCAGGGCGGGGGTGGCGCGGCGTGCTGCTGTTTGCGTGTGGTGGGGTGAAGAAGGGGCAGCGTCGCGTGTGGTGGCTGGGCTGGGGCGAGTGGCGAGGCAAGGGTTGGCCAAGCAGCAGATGGGAGCGCGGCGGCAATGAGAGGCGCGCTGCGCCACCCGCCTCCCAACCTCCACACACACACACACCACACACACACCTGGAACTTGGCGTTGCTCAGCCCCCGCTCGGCGGCCAGCTCGGTGCCGCGCTGCACCTGGCTGGGGGACAGCGTGATGCCTGCGGGCAGGGGAGGGTGGTGGGGGCCGTGTGGTGGTGGTGAGGAGGCAAGGGGCGTGGAGAGAGTTGGGCCACAGGAGGGAGGGAGGGGGAGAGCTGGGCAGAGGGCCAGGCGGTGTGGCTGGCAGGTGAGGTGCATGAGTCTGCACGGCGCCCACAGCCCGCTGGGCCGGCCGGTCGCCACGCCTGGCGCGACTCGCACACAGCACACTAGCGCCACCGCCGCCCGCCCATCCGCCTCACGCCCAGCCGGCGACCCGCCCGCCCAGCCCTCCCCCCCGCCAGCCCTCCGCCCTCACACCCGGCCAGACAGCCGGCCCGGCGGGGCCCACCCGTGACCGAGGCCTGCGGGAACTTGGCTGCCAGGTAGCGCGAGGTGCCGCCGATGCCGCAGCCGACGTCAAGGATCTTGGGGACGCCGCCGTCGCCGCTCACGTCGGCGCAGGCCCACCCGCTCCACCTCAGCATCTCCTCCACAAAGTCGTACTTGGCCTGCGGGAGGAAAGGAGGGGAGGGAGGCAGGCACAGGAAGGGAGCGTTGGGTGGGGATGATGAGGAGGGGATGGGAGGAAAGCGTGCGCGAAAGAGAGGGGCGGTCAGGCAGGGAGGCAGGGAGGCAGGCGGGTGAATGCAGGGCACGCAGCCCCCACGGTGGCCCACCCACAGCCGGCGCCGCATTCCCATTCCGCACAGCCCGGCGCCCACCTGGATGAAGTTTTTCTTCTTGTAGCCGCGCTGCCGCTCCTGCAGCCAGCCACACGTGGGAGGGCACAGCATGGTCGACGTGAGGGGAGGGCCACACAGCATGCACGACACGGCCCTCCAGCCAGCACAAGCCCAGTCACGACAGCCGGCACCGGGCCCTGCTGGCTGCCATCAGCACAGGAATCCGCCAGCCGCCCGCCATGCAGCAGAAGCTGCCCGGCACCCAGCCCCTGCTCCGCACCTCCTCGCTGTAGTGGCCCAGGTGGATGTGCTCCCCCCAGTAGTACTCCAGCACGCCCTCCTCAGTCCACGCATCGTACTCCTGCCCCACATTCTGGTCGTAGGAGCGGGAGGGGGTGTCGTAGACCTTCTTGATCCCGTAGCCAGCCAGCAGCGCGCCGCCCAGCAGCAGCGCGGCGAGCGGCGTGGGGCCCAGCAGCGGCGCCGCCGCCGCGGTGTCGGCCTGGGGCGGGGGCGCCGCCGCCGCGCGGGCCGCGATGTCTGCTATCGGTTGCGCCAGGTGAGCGGCAGCCTCGGCCGTGTGGCTGGTGCTGGCGGCCACCAGGCCCTCTTGCTGCTGGGCGCCAGCCACTAAGAAGTGTCGCCGCTGCCTGCATCGTGCTGCATTGTATCTACTGGGCGCAATATGCCACGGCTGCGCCGTGAAATGCCGCGCCACCGCCATGTCTGCCCAAGTGCAAAAGTCACGGGCTGGGGCAGAGGGGCGTGAGAGTTTGTGGGACCCGAATCGTGTGGCGAATGGGCTGACGGGACCCATTTTTGTGGGACATCCCAGGCCAGGCTGGCGGCACCCGCCGCCACCATGTGCATCAACCGCGTCCCTCCATGGTTACACTTGTAGCTACAGGGAATCTATGCCATCTCCAATCACATGCTGCAGGCTGTACCAGAGCTGCTGCCTCGCAACCACCCAGGCCCGCTGCGGGCCTTGCCGGCACGGCTGCCTCAGTCGCCCCTGATCTGCAAGAAAAGGTGAAGTGTGCTCTGGCTTCCGATCTTGTGCTGCTCCAAAGTGTCCTGGCCCACCAGCAGCTTGCGGTTGAATAACAGGCGCTGAAAGCCAATAGGGATGCCCTCCATTTTCTCGATGGCTGCAGAAACGAAAGCAATGAGAAGTCAAGCACCGTCCGGTCACTCCATGACATTGACAGGGCAAGCAGCGGGCAGGGGCAGCTTTGCCATCACTGCACATGCATTAACTCACTCCACATCAGATTGCCCACGGTCCATGACGGGTGGGCATACACCGTGTGAGTTTTGCCCGTCTGCATGCACAGGTGCAACCTTTCGTCAGGCTGCTGCGCTGTGCCGGAACGCCGACACCAGAAGCACGCTGCCTGGCTTGCTGAACATCAGCGCAACATCGTGAGCAGCGGCTGGCAGAGGGTCGGGCGAGCACCCCAGGAATGCGGTAACATGCGTGTCTGGACCGCTCATGGCTCCCACAAGAACACCAGCATGTACAGCGCTGTCGCCCCTCACCAGACATTTAACAAACACTATATGTGGGGACTGTGGCAATGGCAACAGTGTGGGGCGGAACGCCTCCTCCAGCTCCCTCTCCTCCTGCTCCCTCTCCTGCTCCTCCTGCACGCGCCTCTCCTCATCTGCCTGCCTGCGTGCCTCCTCGCGCACTGCAAATCCGAAGGGCCACCCAGCAAACCTTGAGATGGAAGATGGGGCGGGCGGGGCACACTTCGAGCCGCCATGCAGCCGCGGTGCGTTGCGTCATGGCAGCTGCGCCAGCCTGGCAGCGCAGGCGCACCCGAGTCGAACTGCGCCAGCAGAGTACCCACAGGCACGCCGTTGATGGTGTAGGTGGGGCTGAGGCGCCATTGCAGCACGATGGTGCAGCGTGAGAACCCTCTCACTGCAGCATAGAGGCACACGTGTGCGCTCTTGCTGTCAGCAAGGAGGGATGCAAGTTAGTGTGGTCACGCCACAAGCATCACAGGGGCAGGCAGGCCGCTGGGGAGCGGGAGCGGATGCGTCAGCAAGCGCAGCAGCGCCAGGCAGGCAAGCTCCCCCCCCAGCCCCACCTACCCGAGTGTGGGATGGCGGGGCTGCGCGGGTCGATGCAGTGCAGGGTGTAGCCAGGAATCAGCAGGCCCAGCAGCTGGTCCTCGTTGCTGGACAGGCTGCCTGGCAGCAGCATGTCCATGCCAACCTGCTGCCCTGCATCAGCAGTGGTGCCACGGCATGGACCGTTGGGTAGGTCACTGCATCACATCCATGCACGATGCCCAGCCATGCCATGCAGCCTGCTGCGCGTTTGCATTCTGCTGCGCACAAAACCCTCAGGGTGGCAAGAATTCTCTGCTGTGTCACTCGGCAGCTGCGATGCCCCTGCGCGCTTCGCCCTGGCCTGCCCACCGTCCGAGTCGAAGCGGATGGCGGCCAGGTCTGCCGCCGTGCCGAGCACCAGGTTGAACAGCGGTCGCAGTGCTCCTCCAGGTGGCGATAAGTGCTCAACAGGAACCTGCACCAAGGGGGATATAAGGACTGCCGTGGAAAGCGTCCCCGGCTCCAGATCATGTGCAAGCACAGCAGCTGGACAGGTTGCTTGTTTGCTGGCTTGGCCGCCGGGTGCTGCCTCCGCCCACTTGGAGTGCTGCTCATCCTCCAGAGCAGGGTCAGCCAGGCGCCGAGGTTGTCGAGATGGGGGTGCAGGCAGTGGCTGTCCTTGCCCAAGCGCGCCATGTGTGCCTCGGTGAACTGCAGCCCCAGCTGGTGCAGCACCTTGGCCACAAGCGGCTCTGAGCTTGGGGCAACAGCCTGCGGCAGGGGGGAGGCGGACGGGCGCGCCGCGTGTGCTACTGGCGGGCGCGGGAGGGCGGCTGGTTCCAAGGGCGGCGGGGCTGCGCATGTTGCTGTGTCTGCTCCTGGCGGCCCGTGAGGCAACCAGCTGCATTCGTGGCTGGAGCCTGCGCGCCTCATGGACGATGCCCTCCAAGCCTTTGGCCCTCAGCCGCCCCAGTATGCCTTGGACATCTTCATCTGGCACAAACAGCAGCAGGCCGTGGTGGCTACGGCAGGCACGGCGAAGGTAGCGCAGCAGAGAGGCCGCGGAGCAGGACGCGTCCAGCGGCACGACTGGCAGCGACTCCATTGGGAAGGCGAGTTGGGCGGCGCGCGCGCAGTTTTATCGGAGGGACGTCCGTTTCTTGGAGGAGGTGGCGGCCGCGCGTTACGCAACACCTAATGTGTTGCCCGAATGCTCTCATAGTTCTTGCTCCACATCACATTACATTACAATGTGCATCAATTGCCCCCCATGACTACTCCAACGCACGCTGCAGGCTGTACCTGGGCAGCTGCCCGCCCGCCGCAGTGGCACGCGGCGACGGCGGCACCGCCTCCCGCTCCGCCGGCGTCGCCGGCCTGGCGGGCCGCCCTGCTGCTGCTGCGCCGCCGCTGCCACTGCCTCCACCATCGCCGCCACCGTCAGGGCCAGCCCCTGCCGCCGCCACTTGCTTGTAGATGCTGAGCGCGCTAGCCACCATGGAGGCGGGGTCGTGTGTGGCTGCTGGCAGCAGCATGGTGGTTCCCTGCTTGGCAATCTCCCCAAAGCTGTCCAGGTACTGCTCCGCCACGCGCAGCGACACCGCCTCGCTGCCGCCCCGCTGGCGGATGGCGTCGGCCAGCAGCTGTAGGCCACGGGCGGTGGCCTCGGCGCGGGCAAAGATGGCGGAGGCCTCGCCTGCGGGTTGCACGAGGAGCGGCCCAGGGCCCCGAGGGTGGGTGGGCGACCGCAGAGGCAGCCCGAGTTCCTGCTGCCCTCCTCTCTCTGTCCCGCTCCCCCCCACCCTCCCTCTCGCGCGCTGTGTGCCGCAAGGCGCAGGCCGGCAGCCACGGGGCTTGCGCATCGGCAGCCCCGCCCTCGCGACTCCCTGCTCCGACAGAAAGAACGACACACACCTCCGCACCCCTGCCCCACAACTCCCTCGCTTGCCGACCGCCTGCTGCCCCACCCCACCCCCCCACCCACCCTCCGCGCGGTTGATGGCGTCCTGGCGTGCGGCCTCCGAGGCCAGGATGACCTCGCTCTTGCCCGCCTCTGCGACGTTGATCTTGGACTGGCGCTGGCCCTCTGACTCCAGGATCTGCGGGGGAGGGATGGGGTGAGGGGTGAGGGGTGTGGGTGTGGGTGTGGGTTGTGGTTGTAGCTGTGTGAGTGGTGGGGTGGAGGCGAGGGGGAGAGCTGGCGGAGCAGGAGGAGGCAGCAGGGGCGGCGGGCGGAGGGAGGGGCAGCTGGCGACGCACCTGCGCGCGCTTGCGGCGCTCCGCCTCAGCCTGCAGCTCCATGGCGTTGCGCACGGCGGCGGGGGGCATGATGTCGCGGATCTCGTACCTGTGTGCGTGGGGAGGAAAGGAGGAGGGAGCAATGGAGGCAAGGGTGGGAGGTTGGCTGCGCGCGGCAGCGGAAGCAGTGACAGGCAGCGGAGGGCAGGGAGGAGAGGGGCATCGTCCGGCACCCTCATCTGAGCACCTGCCGGCCTCCAGCCCCCCCTGAACCCTGCCCCCCCCCTTCCCCCCCACCCCACCCCATGCACACAGCAAGCTGGCGCGCCACCCTCACCTGAGCACCTGCAGGCCCCACACCTGGGCCGCGGACTGGATGGAGGCCACGATGTTGGCGTTGAGGGTGTCGCGCTCGCTGAACACGCTGTCCAGCGAGATCTTGCCCAGCTCGCTGCGCATGGTGGTCTGCGGGGTGGGAGGATGGGAGGGAGGGATGGAGGACTGATGTGTCGAGGGTGGGAGTGGGGCTGGGCGCGTAGGTGGCGGGACGACGCCACCCTCGCCCTCCTTCCCTCGGGGAGATGCATCCCCGCGCCGTCCCACACGCCCGCCCACCTGCGCCAGCTGCGTCACCGCGTACAGCGCATTCTCCACGCCGTAGCTGGCGCGGTACGCATCCATGACCTGCGGCGGTACGCCATGCCGCCGCGCCGTGCGTCACACACCTAGGCTGGTTGGTTGCACCGTCAGCCAGCCCAGTTGTCGGGTTCGCCCCAGTTGGAGCACCTCGCTGCCGCCACCCCCGCTACTGCCTGCCGACTTTGCCCCCGACCTCTGCCACCGATGCACGCCACCTTCCCCTACACGCCTCTCACACCACCACCCACCATCCACCCACCAGCCGCCCACCTTGACGTACAGCACGCCGTCGATGGTCAGGGACACGTTGTCCTTGGTGATGGCGGTCTGGTTGGGCACAGGGATGGTGGTCTCCTTCAGGCTGTGCGCATAAGCGATGCGGTCCACCTGCGAGTCGTGTGTGTGGCGGGGTTGAAAAACTGGCTCGTCACAACGAGGGGTTGGTTTATGTATGGTGGCCCTTAAGGCTGTGGGAAAATGCGATGCAGTGCACCTGTCGGCAGGTGTGTGCGTTGTGGGAGGCATGGCAGTTGCACACCCGAGGGGCCTCCAGCTTGCAGCAGCAGCAGCAGGCAGGGCGACAGCGGCAGGCTCACAATGGGGATGAGGATGTGGAGGCCGGGCGTGAGGGTGCGACTGTACTTGCCGAAACGCTCCACCACGTAGGCTGCACACGGCCAGGCAGGTGGCAGAGCAGGGGGCAGGCAGGGGACCAAGATGCTTGGCACAGCGCGCGTCGCTAGCCCTGGCAGCTGCGTGCGCGGTGTGGCCGGAACATGCAGCCCCCGCACCTGTCTGCTGCGGCACGATGCGGATGATGGTGTTGGTGGGTGTGGAGCGCGGCGCAAAGGGAGAGGTGGGGTCGAAGCCCACCACGGCCCGAGCCGTGGCGGTGGCGGTGAAGGAGCGGCGCCCGCCAGCGGCAGCCACATCTGCGGAATGGGGGAGGCGGAAGGCTCGCCTGCTACTTCAGCACCACCTGGTGCTTGGTTTGAGGGCAGCAAGACCCGCGGAGTGTGCACCGATTGACCGGAAGTATCGGGGACCTCAGGTGCCCACCTAGGGAGCGTGCCGCTGCCAGCCCACCAGGCGCAGCATCGCTAGGGATCGTAGTGGCAGCCTCCTGGGCCAGCAAGCGGGCGCC